TGTCATGGAACACTATTGACTGGGAACTAATTTACTCTGTAAACTTTCACCTAAAGCACAATAAAAAATTAAAAATGTATATATTCTGTTCTGACTCACGTATTATACGCTAATTTTTCAGGCTTAACTCCTTCTTCTACTTTTTGCTCACTGCTATTTCAATAGTGTCTTTGCCTCTCCAACCAAAGGAGCTAAGGAACCAACCCCTAGAATTCTATCCTTCTACCTGAGAGCACCCAGTACTAAGTGGGACTCTAGACATTGGTAGATGAAAATCAAACCAACAAATACTTGACTCCCTATCACAGTATTTCTTAACAACTCCATCAGAATCACCTGAGAGGGCCGGGGAACCTGAACCAGGATGACTGGGAGAGAGAACTAGGAGAATCTGTTTTAAACAAGCCTCTCAGGAGATTCTTATGCATATGTTGGGGCCCTAGAGAGCTGTTACATGCAAATAAACGCATATGCCTAAATATGTCTCAAACAGGATATGAATAAGGTGTGAATAAAATAAGTTTACATAACATTTCTGATCTCACCTCTTCTTCTCTCCTATCTCTCCTCACTACACTGCCGGAATAATCCTGGAGCAAAGTTCTGATCAAGCCCTTCCTTTGTTCAAAACCTTTCCTACTCACCTGGAAAAATTATGCTGAGTGAAATAAGTCAGACACAAAAGGGCAAATATTGTATGCTTCCCACATACATGAAATATCTGTAACAGGCAAATACAAACAGACAAAATTGGTTAGTGGTTAGTAGGGGCTGGGGAGGGATGGGGAGATTTTGCTTAAGGGGTAATGAGTTTCAGTTAAGGGGGCTGGAAAACATTTGGGAACAACATTTGGAAATGGATAGTGGTGGTGGTTGCACAACATAGTGAATGTAATTAATGTCACAGAATCGTACACTTAAAGATGGTTAAAATGGCAGATTTCTTAAAATAAATATTTTGCCACAAGAAAAAAAAAATTAAAAAACCTTCCCCACTATGAGAAGGAGCCCTGGTGGCGCAGTGGTTAAGAGCTCGGCAGCTCAAATCCACCAGCTGCACCTTGAATACTCATACTCCTAAGCTTGGTGTTTAAGAATCCTTACAGCCCACTAGCAATCAACATAACTTTAGCTTAGAGCCCAAACCCTGGAGCCGAAATGCCTGGTATTCAAACCCTACCTCCACCAATTGTTAGCTGTGTGACTTTCAGACATGTCACTTAACCTCTCTGTGCCTCAGTTTCTGCATGTGTAAAATGGGAATATTAACAGTACCTACCTGATAGGGTTGTTGAAAGGGTTAAATGAATTAATAACATACACAACACTCAGAATAGTGCATGGGACATAGTAAGTGCCACATGTTGTGGTTGGGGGCTGCTGAGTCAGTTCCAACTCATAGTGACCCTACGTACAACAGAACGAAATACTGCCCAGTCCTGCGCCATCCTCACAGTGCTGCAGCCACTGTGTCAATTCATCTCATTGAGGGTCTTCATCTTTTTCGCTGACCCTCCACTTTACCAAGCATGATGTCCTTCTCCAGATAACATGTCAAAAGTACGTAAAACAAAGTCTCGCCATCCTTGCTTCTAAGGAGCACTCTGGCTGTACTTCTTCCAAGACAGACCTGTTCATTCTTCTGGCAGTCCATGGTATATTCTCTTTGCCAGCACCATAATTCAAAGGCATCAACTCTTCTTTGGTCTTCCTTATTCATTGTCCAGCTTTCGCATGTACGCGAGGTGAGTGAAAATACCACGGCTTGGGTCAGGCGCACCTTAGTCCACAAGGTGACATCTTTGCTTTTTTTTTATATTGTATTGTACTTCAGGTGAAGGCTTACAGAACAAATAGTTTCTCATGAAACAGTAGTACACATGTTGTTTTATGACATTGGTTAACAACCCCACAACATATTAACCCTCTAAATTCTCAACCTTTTTTTTTTTTTGGTGAAAATACACATAGCCAAAGATACACCGTTTCAAAAATTTCTACATACACAGTTCAGTGACATTGATTGCGCTCTTCCAATTGTGCTGTTATTCTCACTTAAGATGAAGGCTTACAGAACAAAATAGTTTTTCATTTAACAGTTACTACACATGTTGCCCTATGACAATGGTTAACAATCTCACAACACATCAACAATACCCTTACTCAACCTTGGGTTCCCTATCACCAGCTTCCTTGTCCCCTTCTGCCTTCTGGCCCTTGTCACTGGACTCCTGTACCTCGTTAGTCTCATTTGGTTTTATGCAGCTGTCCACTCCCAGGCTGAACAGTGAACCTCGGAGGTAACCTCACCACTGAGCTAAAAGGGTGTCTGGGGGCCATACTCTCGAGGTTTCTCCAGTCTCCTTTAGGCCAGTAAATCTGGTCTTTTTTTGTGAGTTAGAATTATGCTCTACATCCTTCTCCAGCTCTGTCCAGAACCCTCTGTTGTGATCCTGGTCAGAGCAGTCAGTGGTGGTAGCCGGCCACCATCTAGCTGTACTGGACTCAGTCCGGTGGAGGTCTTGGTAGCTGTGGACAGTTAGTCCTTCGGACTAATTTTTTCCTTGTATCCTGTTCTCTTCATTCTCCCTTGCTCCCAAAGGGATGAGACCAGTGGAGTATCTTAGATGGCTGCTCACAGGCTTTTAAGACCCCAGACACTACTCACCAAGGTAGAATGTAGAGCATTGTCTTTATAAGCTGTGTCATGCCAATTGAGCTAGGACATCTTTGCTTTTTAACACTTTAAAGATGTCTTTTGCAGCAGATTTGCCCAATGCAATAATTCGTTTGATATTACGATTATTATCCCCTGGTATTCCCCTACTCACACATTACGCTCTAGTATCGCTAATTCCTGCTCCTTGGGCATTTTTCCATATCCTCACACTGTTCCCTCTACCTGTGACACCACTCCACAAGTTCTCTAGGTTAAAACATCCAACTGGCAAAACCCAATTCAACTGTCACTTGAAAGTCTTCTCTGACTAACCCCCCCCCCCAACATACATACAGAAGCCTTCCTGTCTCTGTACATTGGAGTAACTTATTTGTGTATGTTTTCTCATCTCCTTGACTGTAATTTCACTGAGAGGATGGTAGAGTTGAGACATTAAGATCTTAGAGTGAGACCGGCCTGGGTTCCAAATCCTGTCACTATTTATCCTCCCTAAGCCTATTTTCTATTTATAAGTTTGGGATAAAGAGCTGATGGGAGGTTTAAATGACAAACTCTATCCATATAAGCCCACTGCCACTGAGTGATTCAGACTTATAGCGACCCTACAGGACAGGGTAGAAGCACCCCATAGGGTTTCCAAGGCTGAAATCTTTACAGGAGCAGACTGCCACATCTTTCTCCCTAAGAGCAGCTGTTGGGTTTGAACCACTGACCTTTCAGTTAGCAGCTGAGTGTTTTTATCCACAGACAACCAAAAAACCACCAAGAAACAAAAATAAACTGCTGTATCTAAGATAGTTGATTAGTATTATTAATAGAATTATTAATAGCAGCATTTACTAAGTGCCAGCTGTGTGAGATAGTGACAGAGCCAGATGCTGGCACTAAAAGAAAGACATGTCCTAAAGAAGCATCAAGTTTATGGAGATATGCAGGAGCACATCGAGCCAGATACCAGGAGCGGATTATCCAACAGGCAAGACCCACGTGAAATTTTTCACTACAGATTAGTAAGTAAGCACAAGTAAACCCATGTTTACTTTGCTTATTGGGTAGTATGTCCCTATCAGGGGTTGTAAATGTAAAAAGGCTTTGATTCTGCAGGAGGGTGTTGTAGGGCTGGGAAAGAGACAGATGCCAGTTCTGCAGGAAGGTGTTGTAGGGTTGGGAGAGAGACAGATGCCAGCCATATCTAGAAGCAGAATCTTTCATGTGGTGAAAAAATGTGAAATTGTTCTCTATAGATTATCTAGTAAGCAAGGTAAGCACCATGTTTACCATGACCACTGGATAATCCTCCCCTTCCAGATATGCCCACGCTGGCTGTTTACAAAACAGCCTTTTCAAGAACAAACAAAACCACCGACTGGCACGTGCACTCTGCCCAGGCTCTGAGGTGTGCCCACAGAAGAGACCAAAGCTCCTTCCTATTGGTCTTTCGCAGAGTGACGTCGACACCACACCCAAGGAACCGACCAATGGGATTCGGCGGGGCGGACCCAACCGGCACAGCTGAGGGCATGACAGCCTCTGAGCTCTCACTTTCTCTTCTCCACCGAAGTTGGGGGGCAGCCGCCTCCAGCACTAACAGGATCAAAGACCCCCAAGTAGGCACAGCCTTATGCTCTGTCCTATAGGGTCGCTAGGAGTCGGAATGGACTCGACAGTAGTGTTTTCTTTGAGCGCTCATTTCATTTTTTTTAACGAAAAGTCCCTTTGTGGCCACGTTCAGATTTCTGAGTCGTGAGCTCGGAATCCGAGGAGTCAGGTGACAGCCCAGTGTGATTTTGGGGTTTCACTTTCCCCTTTCAGCGCTTCCGTTACCCCATTTTAAAATGGGGACAAAAATTCCGCCCTGGGGCAGGAATGCACTTCTCGAATTAGACCGAAGCTCTGCCTGGCGCCTATCAGGCGTCTGACCAATTCTGGCTGGGCTGCCACAGGCTGTGGCAGGCGCTCCTGGCGGGTGGGCGTCCGTGGACCCCCTCCAGGGAGTATACAAGCGACGCCCTCTTCCTCCTGCCCTGAGGAGCCTCTGGAACGCGTGGCTCTGACCCAGACCCCCAAGAGGACGCAGGCGAGGGCCAGGGACCAGCCGTGCCCACTTGGGGCTCTGGAGCAGGGATGGGGAAGTTGGCCAAGCTGGGGTCCGCGCCCCGCGGCCAAGACTGAGGCTGCTCAGGACCCGCGCCTGGGTGATGAAAACCTCATGCGCCTCCTCCGACCCCAACGGAGCGCTTCGGCCAAGAGGATTCCCAGTACGTCCGCCACATCCCTCCCTAAAATCGAGCCCTGGACGCCTCCTCACCACCCAACTTACCACTTCGCTCCTCCCGGGGCCAACCCAGACAGCGCCCCGGTCCAGACCCCGCGGAAGCAGAGGTGAAGCTGTAGCTTCACTTCCGGAAGTAACTGAGGACTGGCAGCGGTGGAGGGTGCCCCCCTGCCCGCGACCATAGAGGAGAGGCCGCACACGTTTCCCAACCCCCTCAACCCCCGCGACCTCCCCGTTGCCTAGAGCGGCCACTCCCGGGCAAAGGACGTCGGCGCAAGCCGCCAGTCCCGCCCCTTCCTCTTCATCGCGGACCTGGGGCGGGACGCTGGAGTTACACAATGTGGGGAAGGAGGGCTTCCGTTAGTGATTGCTGCTTCAGGGCTGTAGCTTCTGTATCTGGAGAAAACAGCTTTACCCAGAAGTTAAAGTAATATTACAAGACCGCACAGTACTTTCTGCGGTTATTTTGCCCTCAGATTTTATGCAGAAAGTCACAGGACCATGGCTAAAGTCGTATTTACAGTATTAAGAATAGGGATGATCGAGAAGGGAGAGGGTTGACGTTTTGTGGGATTATTAAGCAATGTCAGTGCCATAAAACAATATGTGTAATACTGTTTCATGAGAAACTGTTTGTTCTGTAAGCCTTCACATGAAGTACAATAAAAAAAATTTTAAAAAAATAGGGATGAACATTATTTTTCCTATCACTACCTTTGCTTTTCTTTGTTTTTTTTTTTCAGCGTCTTGGTCTGTTGAGAACTCATGCTGATTATGTATTTTTAATCGCTGGTCCAGAGATTGTGAAATTGCTAATTTGAGATAATCGTTATTTATTTTTTATCACATCGGGAAAGAGCGTGAGGATTGGTAATATCCCGTGATAGTGGAGAGAGTGTGTGAACTCATTTTCTGGAAGATTATAGCAGCATTATTTTCATTTTTTATTGTGATTTAGGTGAAAGTTTACATAGCAAATTAATTCTCATTAAATAGTTAATACACAAATAGTTTTGTGACTTTGGCTACCAACCCCTCTACGTGTCAACACTCTCCCTTTCTCCACCCAAGATTGCCTGTTTCCATTCGTACAGTTTTCCTGTCCTTTCCTGCCTTCTTCTCTTTGCTTTTGGACTGGTGTGTCCATTAGTCTCGCATGCATGATTGAACTAGGAAGCACGTTCCTCGTGTGTTATTGTTGTTCCTACAGACCTGTCTAGTGTTTGGCTGAAGGGTGAACCTCAGAAGTGACTTCAGTACTGAGTTAAAAGCGTGTCAAGGTGTATCAGCTTTTTTTAAAAAATATTTTGTTGTACTTCAGATGAAGGCTTACAGAACAAATGGTTTCTCATGAAACAGTAGTATACATATTGTTTTATGACACTGGTTAACAACCCCACAACAT